TGATCGGTGCCACCGTGCCCACGGGCTTCGAGCAGACGGCGGCCGAGGAGGTGCAGGAGAAGCTGGGATCGGTCTTCACCCAGGGGCCCGACCGCGGCAAGATCTACTTCCAGGTGCCGGCGAGGAGTCTGCCGCAGGTCCGTGTCCCCATCGCCCGTCCCTGTCCCTGTCCCGCCCGCCCCGCGCAGAGCTCTCCGCTGCCGCCGATGCCATCCCTCCCGCGCCGGGCGCGGCAGCGGTGTCTGTCCTCACCGGGAGGAGGTGATGGGGAGGGTAAATTAGTGCAAAGGGACACCTCTGTGCAGGAATGTGGTCTGTGAAACCTGGGGGGGTTGGTCTCTTCTCCCAGGCAACCAGCAGCAGGACAAGAGGGCACAGATTCAAGCTCTGCCAGGGGAGGGTTAGGTTGGATATTAGGAAGAGATTTTTTCCAGAGAGAGTGCTCAGGCATTGGAATGTGCTGCCCAGGGAGGTGGTGGATTCACCATCCCTGGAGGTTTTCAAGCTGAGACTGGATGTGGCACTTAGTGCCATGGTCCAGTAACCACGGTAGGGTTGGACTGGATCATCTTTGAGGTCTCTTCCAACCTGGTTGATCCTATGAAAATCCTAATGACAAGTGAACACATGAACAAGTTAATGTGCTTCTCATCTCTTCTAGGTCCATCGTCTGCGGTCAGTGGATAACTTGTTCGTCGTTGTTCAGGAGTTCAAAGACTATCAATTTAAAGAAACCAAGGTGAGTTACTCTGCATTTTTAATTGGTGCTGCAGTTTGGAGTGTTCATTTTACCAATTTAAGCATCGAATGTTCTGTTTCATGACAAAGTTTGTTGGGTTTTACATTTGTGATATTGTTCCAGTTCCTCTTTTCTGGCTTGTAAATGGAAGTGTGGCCGTGCTAATATAATTTCTCCAGTTAAATATGTTGCACTGGCAAAATCTGGGATAAGAGCTGATGCCATGCTTGTAGGTCACAGACATAGGACAGTGAGGTGTCACTTTGGTCACTTAATGCAATGTTAGTTGTTTATTTGGCAAGGACAATGATGAAATACTGCGTGTCTTGTGATTTTCAGTGTAATTCCATTTAGTTATGGCAAAAATCAGAGAAAAGCCTGTAAGCTTTGTGTAAACACTTAGTAGGTTAATGTTTAACAAACTACGTTGAGAACTAAAGATAAAGGATAATTTTAAAGGGATGAAATGACTTGAAAGCACAATTTTTTCTCTCTTGTTAAAGGAAGATGCTCTAAAGGATTTGGAAGCCTTGGTTAAAAAGCTGCCCTGGACTGATCCGTTGAAAGTTTGGGAACTGAACAACAGCCTAAAAAAGAAGAAGACCAAACGCAAGAAACACAACCTGCAGAGTGCTGCAGGCAAAGAGAAGCTGAGTGAGGCTGGAGAGGGAGGAGCAGACCAAAAGGACACTGATGCCCAGGAGGACTGTGCCCAGACCCCTTTGGGCAGCCAGGGCTCAGAGGAGCCCCAGGGAGCAGGAGAGGAGGAGGAGGAGGAGGATGCCAAGGATGAAGGGCAGGCAGGGCCTGGGAGTGGGAGCAAGGCTGGGGACGGTGAGGCCGGCGAGGGAGAGGGGAAGGTGCTGAAGTTCAGGGTGACGTGTAACAGAGCTGGAGACAAGCACAGCTTCACCTCAAACGAGGCTGCGAGAGACTTCGGCGGGGCCGTGCAGGAGCACTTCCAGTGGAAGGCTGACATGACCAACTTTGATGTGGAGGTGAGGGGGGTGTGCCTTGGAAATACCTACACTTCTGCTGTATGCATTCTTAGGTCTTAATTCTGCTGCTAGAGGTCCCTGAATTGCCTTCCAGAGACTGAAACTGCAAAGTGGTAACCCTCCGGAGGGTTCATTTCCCACCACGTTATGCCATGCTCAGATGGAAGCACTGCCCTAGAGAGAGGTTTCACCTTCCCAGTTAATGTGATCCCCACCACGAATATGTATTTTATTGCTGCTTTGCAGTTCTGTCGCCGTAACTTGCAGGACTTTCCTGGCTGCTCCCCCAAACATAGAAACCAAACCTTGTAAGAGCCAGTGCAATGGTTGTAGCACTTTAGGCTGCTCCCCCAAACATAGAAACCAAAGCTTGTAAGAGCCAGTGCAATGGTTATAGCACTTTGGGAAGGCTTGGGTGAAGGGTTTGGTGTGAGTGGCAGAATGTGTGAATCTCTCCTGAATTCTCTCCATTGTGGCTAGTAAAATGATGCTTTACTTCCAAGAAGAAAATACACATCATTCCTGGTTTTTAAATTGCCATTTAAGATTCCCATAAGTATTTACCAGCCATGCTATGGAAAACTTCTGTGACTCCTGACATTCAGTTCAGGTTTTTCTTTAGGTTCTCCTGAATATTCACAACAACGAGGTCGTGGTAGGGATTGCACTGACTGAGGAGAGCCTTCACAGACGGAATATCACCCACTTCGGGCCCACGACGCTGCGTTCCACTCTGGCCTATGGCATGCTCAGGTCAGTGCAGCTGCACTGTGCTGTGCTACACTCAGTCAGAGTCCTGTTGTTTCAGAAATTAGACCCTTTATTCCCCACCATGTCCTCAGAAGCCACTTCTGTCCCTTCCCAAAGAAAAACAAGTGAAAAAAGCAGAGTGCTATTCAGAAATTAGACCCTTTATTCCCCACCGTGTCCTCAGAAGCCACTTCTGTCCATTCCCAAAGAAAAACAGGTGAAAAAAGCAGAGTGCTGGCAGTGTGCTTTGGAGTAACAGTGGGTGTTTGCCAGCCAAGGGCAGTAAACCTTTGCTGTGTCAGCCACGTTTCACAATTCTATATCACCTTTGTGCTGTGTCAGCCACGTTTCACAATTCTGTATCACCTTTGTGAGAGAATTTCACTGTATTGCTGCTTAGGAAATGGTAATTAACAAGTGGGAAAAATAATGATAAAAAGGTTTGGTTAGATGGGTTGAATCAGAGTGATAAATAGTCGCCTTTCCCTTCTGTAGAGAAATTCCAGTTTTAAGGACATTTCTCACCATATCTTCTCTTCTGTTCTCAGACTCTGTGATCTCCAGCCCACGGATATCATAGTTGATCCCATGTGTGGTACAGGTGCGATACCAATAGAGGTGATTCTTCCTTGTTTTCTTAATTAAATTTGACAGTATATGCACTGAATTAGTTGTGTAGGTCTTCCTGGCAATGGCTGAATAGAGAGCTCCAGTCTCACCAGCTTCTGAACAAACACTTTTTGTAGGTGTCCTCATTTTCCTTCCCTAGGCCATAGCAGGAAGAAACTAAATCCAAAAGTATTTTGAGGTCTAGAGGTGCATAACAGCTATCTGTTACAGAATTCTGAATTCCCTGCCATCCACTTGCAGTCACTTTGTTGCACTCTGTCACGTTTGAGTAATTCCTCTGTTTGTTTTGTTTACAGTCAAGCAGTGTTGATGCTAATCTTGCTTATTATCAATTCCCACCCAGGGAGCTGCAGAATGGCCTGGCTGCTTCCACATTGCTGGGGATAACAACCCTCAGGCTGTGAAGAGAGCAGCAAACAACATCTGTTCCTTACTGAGGAAAAACGAGAGCAAGGACAGGTGAGGGAAGCACAAGGGATTGCCTTTTCCTGCAGTGTGGTATGCACAGAAATCCTCTTTGCATGGGTGTGTTTGTCTGGTTCACGTTTTGCTTTTTGTTCTGCTGCCAATGTTCTAGACCTCCTCAGTGTAAAAACCTTCTGAGTGCTCATGTCTGAAGTGTCTGTCCTTGCCCTTGCAGCAGCACTGCCATGGGCGTCCCTTTGGACATCATCCAGTGGGACATTTGCAACCTGCCCCTGCGGACTGGCTCTGTGGACGTCATCGTGACAGACATGCCCTTTGGGAAGAGGTGAGGTGTGCTGGAAAGGTGCTGCTCACCTGGCCAGGGCTGGGATTCTCCCTTAGTTACTAAACTGAGCTTATCTGGGAAGGAGTGACAGACATTATGTTAAAAAATGCAGGGTGAAAGTAACAGTAACTGTGGCCCTGAAGGAGCTGGTCCATGTCTGACACCCAGCAGCAGTGAACTGGTGTATCACCAAGGGGATCTGACTGTGCCTTGCAGGATAGGGTCAAAGAAGAAGAACTGGGATCTGTACCCAGCCTGCCTGATGGAGATGGGCCGGATCTGCACCCCGGGCACAGGCAGGGCCGTGCTGCTTACCCAGGACAAGAAGTGCTTTGCCAAGGTATGTTCTGTGAGAGAAAATCTGACCTGTCGAAACCTGAAAATACACTGAGGGGAGAACTGTGAGCTGCCACGTTAGAGAAGATGTTCTGTTTATAGAGCAATACGTAGTAACATTTAGATGCAGTTTGGGACCTGACAGGCCCTTGACGTTGCCTTCAGATGTGATTTGGCAAAACAAAGCACAATGTTGTGTCTTACCTCCACTGTGTTGTCTGCTGTGTCTGCAGGCCCTGTCGCGCGTGGGACACGTCTGGCGCCGCGCTCAGACCGTGTGGGTGAACGTGGGAGGGCTCCACGCTGCTGTGTACCTGCTCAGGCGCACCTGGGAGAGAGCCGAGGAGAGAAAACCCTTCTGGTGAACACCTGGAAGGAGGACACACCTCCAGCACCTGCAGGACAGATCTGTCAGTTCCAAACAGCCTGAGAGGAATTGGTGTCACACAGGCGTCAAACCAGGGATCAACTCCAGAGCTAACAGCTCTGCTGTGTGTTCTGAAACCTCATCCTCCCTATACCCCAACTGGGTTTCACTCCTGGAATTAGTAATGCTTCCCTCTGGTCTGTTTCAGTTAAATGTTTATGTTCACTGCTTACAGTAGAGAAAACACCTTGAGGCAACAGTGAATTTACTTGCCAAACTGTAGGAAACTTACATGTATCTCATCGTGACTAACAATACCAAGTCTGTCACCTTGAAAGGTTCAGGGGTAGTATCTCTACTGTAGAATTTTTCCAAATTTCAGTTTTCCAGTTTATACCATTGCTCAAATGTAAACTCAGATAATGAACCAGTATCTGGTTTTTATGGTCTGACAAGCAAACTCCATGCGTGAACAGTGTGCTGTGCTGCTGGTTCTCTTGCCTGTTACCTCTCCTTAGTGCTAATCACCAGTAAATGTCAACTCATATTTCAGTGTTCCACTGTGGGTGAGGAGAGTAACTCACACAGCCTTAGCAAACAGTCTGCAGTTACTACCTGAGACCAGAGATCCTTTTAGCACTTTTAAAGTTCATGTTTTCGTGGTCAGCTGTAGACACATGGAGGTGGCAGTGTTTGAATTCCTTAGGGATTGATCTGCTGTAGTTCTGCCACCACAATATTTACAGAAATAGATTCCCTGTTGACTAACTTGAAGTTTCTTCTCTAAACATACTGTGATTTCTCAAGCCTTTTTCTCTGCTCAGCAGAGGCTGAAAACATTGCTGGTTTGCCCTTTCCATCACCGTGTGTGTCAATGTTCAGAGGTGAATTAACAAGTATTAAAGTTCTAGAGGTTTTGCATAAGAGAGGAGTCTTAATTGTGTTCTTTCTCTGGTTCCTGCCCAGGTCATGCAGCCCTTGGGTAAATAATACCCCAGGCAGCGACACCTTCCACCAGCCCAGGTGGCTCCATCCCCATCCAACCTGACCTGGAACACCTCCAGCGGAGCAGCCACAGCTGCTCTGGGCAACCTGTGCTAGTGCCTCAGCACCTCACAGGGAGGAATTTATTCCATACATCCCATCTAGTTATTTTTTTCTGGAGTTTACTCCTTTCTGTGTGGGACAAAGATGTAGTGTGGTGTTTGGGAATCTGCAGCTGAGGGATAAAGGAATGTTGTTTTGACACGCAGAGATCAGGAGAGGAGTGAATTGGCAGCTGAACTGTTGGTGGATGGGGAGGAACTGGTGCCTCAGTCACGAGAGCTGTGTATGGAGAGGTGGGTGGAAACCACCACAAGTAGCTGTCGGAGTTCACAGGTTGCAGTGAGTTGTGTGGCAAATGCTTATTTCAGTTGTGTAACCATTTGTTGGGAGGGTTTCCACTGGCCAAGTGCTGGTCCTGCACTTTGGCTGTACCAATCCCGGGCAGCGCTCCAGGCTGGGACAGACAGGGATCTGGGAGTTTGGATAGTTAGA